CTTCAATTTCTTTTAGGAGATTTAGACTTAAATTTCTCCTCATTTACTAGAAAGTTTTGGCTGGAAATCCTACCTATTTAATAATCACAAACTGTTGGAAATACAAAAAAAACAGGCAGGGTGCATAGCAATATCTTTACAGTTAGATAATTACTGAAAAAGAATAAAAGTTGCTATTTTGGCTCTTATTCTAATAATTTTTAAAATGAAATTAATCTTTATCACAAAATAATTTAAAATTTTTCCTTTCAATCAACCAAACCCCACATATGAGGCCTGATACTTAAATCGACTCATAATCTAATCTATTTTACTAATTTAATGTTTAATTTCACCTTGCTTTTCTGGCAAAATTGAAACATATCTATTGACGGTCCTTACACAGCTTTATTTTCTTCCCTTTAACATCCCTTCACCTCTCTTTGCATAGAACACAACACACACACACACACACACACACACACACACACATTCATTTAAATGTGTGTGTGCATGTGCGCGTGAGGGTGTGTGTATGTGTGTATGTATTTGAGGTAGGAAAATAGATATTATCCTAGTCCTACTAAAATTCTATCTTTTAGGACTTATTTCAAATTAAATTCTTCCAGAAATCTTTTTTGATTCTTTCCTATTTCCTCTATTTTGTGTAAATGAGGAGGATTTATATACTTTAAATATTGTATATTGTAATAATATAGTATTTGAAGGCAGTGATTTCCCTACACTCCTACAGTATTAAGCAAGTTTTCTTATTCATATTTATATTTTTGCAGAAATGGGGATCTAACTCAGAACCTCATGTGATAGTAAGTATTCTACCATTGAGCTACATCCCCAGTCCCTACTTTTAAAAATAGTTGGCATTTAATAAAGCTTTTGTTAAATTATTATTATGTGAAAATATAAAAATAGATTTTTAGGACTGCAGAATTACTAAACAGTTTATAAAATTCACCTTTTCATAGTCTATAAACAACAAACAAAGCATAAACACAGAGGACATATAACTCAAAATCATAGTTGTAAGTTTTTAAGTCATTATCATCTTTCATGTGATAATTAACTTCCAATAGTTTGGCTCAGCTGTGCCCTACGATTTGCTCTTTATTTGTCATTAAGGTCTCACATATTATTTATTTTCATTGTATAGCATTTATGCAAGAAGGCAGCAATGTAAGCTCCCATGCCTGTGATCCTTCCCACAGATAATAGAAAATAAATTGCAATTAGATTTTGGTAATTGTATATAATTAACTCAAAATGAGCTGTTAATTACAAAAAATATGTTTTTCACTTTCTCATTATCTCATTTATTTAAGTTCCAAATTCTTAATGCCCCACTTGAGTAAGTTTAATATTTTAAACACATAATGTTTTTAATAGACTAATTTAAATTTCCAAATAAACAAAATTTAGCTTAAAATTAAATTTTATCTTGGGAGTTGTCCTATTAAAGTCGAAGAGCTGCAAGGTAGATAGAAGGTCATTTTCATAACAGTTCTCTATTATATGTCCTAAAAGCAGCAGGCATTCTAGTTTGAATAATTCTACACAGGCTAATCAAGGCAGTACAGTAGTCTCTACTGATCCATCTCGACCTTTTCCTGGGTTAAGTGGAAACTACATTAGTTGTACAGCCAACTGAATAAAGGATACATTGAATTTCTGTCTTTACTTCTTTTAATCTCACATTAGATTAAATAACTTAAGAACTGTTGAGTGAGATTCTAGGCTTTCCAATGACTGCCAGACTTTTCAAGCAGTAGCCAGTTTCTTAAAACTCTTAATACTTTTGAAAGGTCTAAAGTTTTTTTTTTTTTTCCAGAAGCATACGAGGAGATAATTTTTTAAAGTTGTATATAATCTTACTTGATTTCTGTCATTATTTAAATGTATAGTTTACATGGTCAAATGTTGGAAACCTTGTACTGGAATGTTACTTTTCAGAGCATTCACCACACCTATCAAGTATAGTGACAAAAATAATTCATAAGTTGTAAGAGAATATAAATAAACTATTACAACCTTTTGGAAAATGAAAACAGCACAGTCTATAATAACTTACCATTTCCAATTCTATCAGTGTCTCCCTAGCAATTTGATTCTGTGGAATTTAAATAAAAATAAAAAAGATTCTAGGACACAAAAATGTATGGATAGCCATGCTTACTATAATATTGTATTCTTTATTAAAGAACATGGAATCATTTGGATGTTCAGCAATAGAAAACCTACTCAGTAACTTATGATGTATATATAAATCTTGGATTATGCACTTATAATAAATAAAATATTATTAGCTTTCTATTGTGACCACGAATCACAACAAATTAATAGGTTTAAATAACACATATTTATTATTTTAGGAAATAATAAGACCCAGAAGCCTGACATGGATCTTACTGAGCTACCTGGGTTAACATCTGTGAGTCAGAAGGGCCATGTTCTTTCCCAGAGGCCATGGAGGAGAAAAATTTACTTAACTCATCTGGATTGTTAGCAGAGTTCATCTCCCTGAAGCTGGAGGACTGGGAACTCTACTTCTTTGCTGGTTGTCAGGTAGGAACTTTATTTTTAGTTTCCTACTTGAATGGATTGGCCTGTGACTTTTCTCCATCTTCACAGCTAGCAAATTACTGTTAATTACTTCTTTGCATCTTAGCTCTTCTCCTGGTCTGTATTTCTGACCTAACAAGGAAATATTCCCACCCCTCCCCACCCTCTTTTTGTCAGTTGTGGGGCTTGAACTCTGGGCTTGGCGCTGTCCCTGCGCTCTTCAGCTCCAGGCAGTGCTGTACCGCTTGAGCCACAGTGCCACTTCCGGTTTTCTAGTAGTTTATTGGCGAGAAGAGTGTCATGAACTTTCCTGTCCGGGCTGGTTTTGAACCGTGGTCTTCAGATCTTAGCCTCCTGAGTAACTAGGATTACAGGCATGAGCCACCGGTGCCCGCCAGGCAAGTTCCCCAATTTTGGGGGAGTGGGGTCCTGGTCCCTGGGCCTGTGCACTATCCCCAAGATAGTTTTTAGTTTTTTGCTCAAGACTAGCACCATACCACTTGAATCACAGCTCTACTTTCGGCTTTTTGGCAGTTAATTGAGTTGTATAGACTTTCCTGCTAGGACTGGCTTTGAACGTTAATCCTCAAACCTCAAGTCTCCTAAGTAGTTAGGATTACAGGCATGAGCTACTATTGCTAGCTAAGATTTCCCACTTTTAACAACTTCTGTGATTAGACAGGACCTATTCAGAGAAGTAAGGATAATCTACCTATCTGAGGTCCATTTTCTTGCTCATATATGCAAAGTTCTTTTCCCATGTAAGATAAAATATTCAGAATTTATAGGAATTAGAACTTGCACAAATTTTAGAAGAGAAATTATTCTGGTTAGTATAGCGCTATTATCTGAAAATCTGATAACCATCTTTCCTTTTTTTCTGTTTTTAAACACATTTCTCCTGAAATGTGCCATAGCCATGCTTAGTGTGACTTGATTATTTTCTAGGTTTGCTACACAGTGATTTCATCCTGAAATGTTCCTATCCATAATCCTGGAATTTTTCATTCCTGTGTCATATTTCCCTTTCCCAGGTTGCATGTTAACCTCTTTTTGGTTTATATGCCTTTATTATGCCGAAACATGTTTTCATTTATTCACAATAAGCATGATAAATCTAAAACTATTAGACACATAAAGAAAAGGAAAACATGATTAAATGCAAAATTTAATTAAAAGATAGAAACTGACAATCCACTATTAGAACAAGTAATTTAAAGCAGCTATTATAATCATCTGATTAACATAAAGAAAAATATGTTTAATAGAAATAAAGTAGGAATCCTATCAAAGAAATAGATCTTATCAACAAGACCCAAAAGGAAATTCCAAAGCTAAAAAAAAAAATAAATCTGAAACTGAAAAAAAAAATCACTATAGGGCTTTAACACAGATTGAAAAAACAAACAAAAAAAGCAGGTAAGGGTAAACCAATAAGAAATTGATCGTAAAGACAAAAACCATTTTTAAAATTAGAGTATCACAGATGTATAATAAAATATCTATAGGCTTAATATACATACATGTAATTAAAATACTAAAATAAGGAGAAAAATTAATTTGAAAATCTAATGATCTTAATTTTAAAAATTTCATAAAAAGAATTCTTAAACATTATTTGTGGGATACAAAGTTATTTGATTTGTATAATAAACAACTGGCAATGTGAACCAAAAATCTTAAATCTTTAGAAGCACTTTAGAGCCAGTTGCTAGTTTCTCACTCCTTATTGCTAGCTATTCATCAGGCTGAGATCTATAGTATAAACCCAGCCTGAGCAGAAAAATCTATGAGACTCTTATCCCTAATTAATTAGCAAAGAGGGAGAAGTGGATCTGTAGCTCAAGTGGTAAAGTGCCAGCTTTTTAGTGAAAAGCCAAACAAGAGCAAGAGGCCCTAAATTCTAGCCCCAGTATCAGCACACACACACAAAATAATTTTAAATGGATTTATACACACTAACTTTCTTGTAGGAAATACCAAGGACATAGGCATAGATAAAATAAAAAAATAGAGAAATATTCTTCAAGGAGTAAGCTATAACCGCAAAATTCTGTATTATTATAAATTATATTTTCAAAGTAAATGCAGTAACTGAATTACAGGTAACAGATTTAAGTATTGAGATATAGTTGCCACATAACAAATATCTGCTCAATAAATGAGTTTTCATAGAGTATTTAATAAAAATATGATATGGTGAGAAAAATAAATAATAGCATAATCCTTAATATCCAATATAGACTGTACTAGCAATATAATGAGATATAGAAATGGGCTCACAGGATTATTTTTGGGAGATAGGATTATAAATTTTACTTTTTACATTTTTCTATATTTTTCAAAAATTTAAGATGAGATTTATATAGTTAGAAAATAAGAACACCAAATATTCTAAAATGTATATGCCTAGTCTGCTTCCATCACCTAGGTCCCACATTTACCTTGGTGCAGAGTAACTCCCATTTACATCCAGATTGAGCTCTCTGGGTTTAGTAAACACTTTATCAGCATCCTCTCTGGGCTTAAATGCAGTTTGTGTTCTTAACCTGTAAGAATAAATACAGAGAATTTCTAATCGCAAAGAGCCTGATGGACAGAAAGGTAAATTTTGGAAAACCATACTCTTTTATCTAGACCCAAGCAATTATTCCCAGATTTAAACTCAATCTGTAAAAAATGAATAGGTTGACTGTATACACTTTGAGCTTAGCACATGTGAAGACTTAGGCTCAAATTCAAAGCATGTATGCATGTGCATGCACACACATGCACAGATACACACACGTTAATTTCAAAATACACAAATAATTAGTCTATAAGAATATAAAATCCCGCTGGGTGCTGGTGGTTCACGCCTGTAATCCTAGCTACTCAGGAGGCTGAGATCTGAGGATCTCGGTTCAAAGCCAGCCCGGGCAGGAAAGACCGTGAGACTCCTATCTCCAGTAAACCACCAGAAAACTGGAAGTGGCACTGTAGCTCAAGTGGTAGAGCGCTCGCCTTGAGCTGAAGAGCTGAGGGACAGCGCCCAGGCCCAGAATTCAAACCCCACGACCAACAAAAAACAAAACAAAACAAAACAAAAAATCCCTTATTAGGACTGTGTGGGAGTTGGTTGAATACATGGTTATATAAAAAATAATACACTTTCTTTATTTGGAGAATGAATTGGTTAGAATGTAATTTAAAAACTAAAAATTATAGATGCTTTAGATGCACTTTAAATATCTTCTGCAGAAATTGAAGGTTTCTCTCTATTCATTGCTATGAAAGTGTATTTTGGTTATTGTTAGGTTACCATTTGTTATCACAACAAAATACTCCTAAGAACTTCAGATGGGAAGGATTAATTCCAACTCATGGTTTCAGAGGTCTTAGTCTCTGTTTGGCTAGCTCCACTGCTGTGGGTCTGAAGTAAGGCTAAAACATCATGGTGGAGAAAATCTGCTCATCACATAGCAGCCAGAAGGAAAAAGGAATCAAGGACAAGGTATACTTTCCAAAGTATTCTATACTGGCTTCTTGTTTCTATTATCTCCTGATGATTGGCTCATCTCCAAATACTTTAATAATTTTATGCTGTTCATTTGATGAATTCACTACAGAGTGAAAGTGTATATAATATAGCCATAGACAAGATTAGGGCATTCACTTGGATATTCTTCTCATAAAATTTTGTGCATCATAGGGGACTTAGTAAATGTTCACTAAAACAAGGAGACAAATTTATTTTCAAAACTATACTTTATATCAAACAATACAGTACTAATATTGTAAATACTAGTAACTCTGAGGTAGTTAGGTGGGAAGGAAACCAGACCTAAATTTTTTTAGTAGTTAATACGAGTTTTAATTCTGTTGTATTGAATAAATAGGATCCAGATAGATAGAAAAGCAGAGTGAAGATATTTAAATCAGAGAAAAATGTTTGGAAATGTTCCTCATTTAATAACTAAGAGCTATGAGGAGACAAATGTGCCTTGGAAAACTGTTAGGAGAAGTGGGGCAAATGGGTAGATGTGATTACAGATTTTAAAAAGTTCTAGATACTAAGCTGAATACACATAACAGTAGAAAAATTTCATGAGTTTCTAAAATTCGGAAGTGGCACAATAAAGGCAATGTCTTAAGAGGATACATTTGAGAGACATATTCTTGACATATGATACTAATGTGCAGAAAGTTGATTTCTAGATAACTCATAAGTGATAAAATGACATAAATCTAAAAACTGAGAAAAAATGTTTCACTTGTCAGTCTGGAAGTATGAACTGTGACACAAATTAATTAAATGGAGAAATGTAACTTCCGAGTTTTATGTTGTAACAGCTAACAATGGTAGATGAATTTATTTCTGTGGTGTAAGGAATTCAGAGAATGAAAGATGAAGACTCTCCAATAAAAAGAAGTCTTGAGCTAGACATAGTGAAGCAGGTCAGTAATCAAAGTATACTGGCAAGATTTCAAGATTGAGAGCAGCATGAGCCACATAGTAAATTCCGTCTCCAAAAGCCAAAAATGTTTGAGTTTTTGGTTGTGCATTTCATTTAATTTTTTCAAGTTATTAATTGAAGAAAATGTAATTTTAGGTCTAGAGCTATAACAGACAAATAGAATGGTAGAATTACAAAAATTGTGAAAGATTCTCGCTGCTCTTTTCTAGCTCTCTCTGCTCTTTTCTAGCTCTTTTCTAGCTCTCTCTGCTCTTTTCTAGCTCTTTTCTCTCTCTTTCCTCTCTCTCTTTCCTCTCTCTTTCCCAGCTCTCTTTCCCAGGCCTTTCCCAGCCACGTGGAGTGCCAACCTTGCCTGGTCCCTCTTTCCCAGTCTACTGAATAAAACTACCTCTTAAAAAAAAAAAAATTGTAAAAGATGACAAAGGCACTTGAAAGTAGTCTGAACAGTTCTCAGTTAACCAGTCTACAGTTAGTTTTTTGTTTTTTTTTTGGTCGGTCGTGGGGCTTGAACTCTGGGCCTGAGTGCTGTCCCTCAGCTCTTCAGCTCAAGGTGAGCCCTCTACCACTTGAGCTACAGCACCACTTCCGGTTTTCTGATGGTTTACTGGAGATAAGAGTTTCATGGACTTTCCTGCCTGGGATGGCTTTGAACGGAGATCCTTAGATCTCAGCCTCCTGAGTAGCTAGGATTACAGGCCTGAGCCACGGGCGCCTGGCTACAGTTAATATTATAGCTGGGCATTGTCTGATAGTATGCTTAAGAAGATTGAAAATGTCCCAATGTAAAACATTGAGGTTTTCCTAAAGCAAGGAAGTGAATAATGCCTTTTGACCATAAAACTCATCTAAACAAGACTGTAAAAAAATCGAGGAAGAGAAGTGCTTAAAGGATGTAAACAAATCATAGTTAGCATAAAAAAGAAAATTAACATTAAGAGATCTGGACCCAAAGAGGAGCTCCTGCCCTCTCAGGTGAGTAGTTAGCCAGATGGTATAAATTTTTACTTTAAATGTAACAAATTCCAAGGCCATTGACAAGATAACTGGAATTTTCCTCCTCACTACAGACTTGTATTGTGACCTTTCCTGTAACTATTCTTTGTAAAGTACTTTAATTCAATCGGCAAAAAGTCTAATTTAAAAAATAAAAATAGCAAGTTTATAGCTCTGAGTTCCTACATCAACAAATTGGAGAGATCTGAAACCAACGATTTACCTGAAGCTCCTTGAAAAAGAGCCAATAAGCTGAACCCCAAACCAGTAGCGGGAAAGAAATAATTAAAATAAATCAGAATTAAATGATTAGAGTCCATGAAAACCATAGAAAGAATCAACAAAACAAAGAGTTGGTTCTTCGAAAAAATTAACAAATTGAAATACGTTTAGTAAATCTTATTAGAAAAAGAAGAGAACACACCCAAAAAAAACAAAGTCAGAGATGAGAATGGAAACACCACAACGGAAACAACCAAGATTCAGAACATTATAAGGGAATACTTCCTAAACTTTTATGCTAATAAGTTTGAGAATCTGGAAGAAATGGACAAATATTGACATGTCCAAACTAAACCACAATGATTTAAACCAACTTAACAGACCCATATCAAGCACTGAAATAGAAACAGCAATAAGAGATGTCCCACCCAAGAAAAGCCCAGGACCTGGATTTATAGCTGAATTCTAGAAGGACTTCAAAGCAGAATTTACACCAATACTTCTCCAACTTTTCAATGAAATTGAAAGTGAAAGTTCACTACCAAACTCTTTCTATGAAGCCATCATAATCCTCATCCCAAAACCAGGCAGGAACTTATCAAAAAAAGAGAATTACAGACCCAGTTCTTTGACGAATATTGATGCAAAACTTCTCAACAAAATTTTGGCCAATTGACATCAACAACTCATCAAAAATATCATACACTATGATTCATTTCAGGGATGCAAAGCTAGTTCAATAAATGCAAATCAATCAATATAATCCATCACATCAACAAGAGCAAGGATAAGAACCACATGACTATCTCAATAGCTGCAGAAAAAGCATTTGACAAGATCCAACTCCCCTTTATGATGAAAGCTCTGGAGAAAAACTAGGAATCCATGGAACATTCCTCAGTGTAATAAAGGCTATGTATGACAAACCTACAGCTAGCATTCTTAATGGCAAAAAGCTAAAGCCATTTCCTCTAAATTCAAGAACAAGACAAAGATGTCCTCTCTCTCCACTTCTCTTCAATTTAGTATTAGAATGCTAATAGGATCCAAAAAGGGAAAGATGAAGTAAAACTCTTTCACTTTGTAGATGACATGATTTTGTATTTAAATAACTCCATGGAGTCCACTCTCAAATTACAAGATGAGTCAAAACTTTGGCAAAGTAGCAGGGAATAAAATTAACCCTCAAAACAATACTCGATAGGAAATGTACTCATTACCTTACTCATGTAACTGTAACTCCCATGTATACTATTTTTACAATAAAAAACATTTAAAAAAGCAATAGTTTTTCTGTATGCCAAAACTGAGAAGAAGGTATCTGAAATCAGGAAAGCAACTCCTTTTGTGATAGTCCCACAAAATACCTAGGAGTTAACTTAACTAGGAGGTAACAATGCTTGATAAGAAATGTACTCATTACCTTCCTCATGTAACTGTAACCCCTCTGTACAGTATTTTTACAATAAAAAACTTATTTAAAATAAAATAAAGAAGTGAAGGACCTCTATGATGGAAACTTAAACACCCGAAAAAGGAAATTAAAGCAGAACTAAGGAAGTGGAAAACCTCCCATGTTCCTGGATCGGGAAGATTAACATCATGAAATAGCAATACTGCCAAAGGCTATTGACAAATACAATGCAATACCTATCAATATTCCAACCTCATTCTTAATGAAATAGAAGAAGCAACCCCAAAATTTATATGCAACACTAAAAGACCCCAAAGAGCAAAAACAATCCTTAGCAGAAAGAACAGTGCTGAAGGAATATCAATATCAAACTTCAAACTCTACTACAAAGCCAGAGTAATCAAAACAGCTTGTTACTGGCACAAGAACAGACCTGAGGACCAATGGCATAGAACTGAAGACCCAGAAATGAACCTAAAGACCTATAGCCACCTAATCTTTGATAAGGGAGCTAAAAAAGTAGAATGGAAGAAACACAGCCTCTTCAGTAAGTGGTGCTGGTAAACTTGGTTAAACACTGGTAGAAAACTAAAGCTAGTCTTTATATATCACCGTACACCAGAATCAAATCCAAATGGATCAAAGACGTCGAAGTCAAAGCAGACATCCTGAAAACATTAAAGGAAGGAATAGGAAAAACCCTAGGGCTCCTTGGTGCAGGCCAAAATTTTCTTAATAAAGACCCAGAATCACAACAAATCAAAGAAAGGTTGGACATATGGCACTGCATGAAACTGCAGAGCTTCTGCATGGCAAAGGACCTAGCTAGCAAGATCAATAGAAAGCCCACGGATTGGGAGAAGATCTTCACTAGCCAGACAACAGACAAGGGTCTCATCTCTAAAATATACTTAGAATTCAAAAAATTAAATCCCCCAACAACAAATCCTCAAAGAAACAATCACCTGATTAATAAATGGGCTAAAGACTTAAAGAGAGACTTCTCTGAAGAGGAAATAAGAATAGCCAATAGACACATGAAGAAATGCAACTTCTCTAGCCATAAAAGAAATGCAAATCAAAACAACATTGAGATACCACCTCACCCCAGTTAGAATCGCCATAATCAAGAAATCTAATAACAACAGATGCTGGAGGGGATGTGGCCAAAAGGGAACCCTACTGCATTGTTGGTGGGAGTGTAAACTTGTTGAACCACTTTGGAAAGCAGTATGGAGGTTCCTCAAAAGACTCCACATAGAGCTCCCCTATGACCTAGCAATCCCACTTTAGGGCATTTACCCAAACAATCACAAACAAGGCCATACTAAAGCTACCAGCACAAATAGGTTTATCGCAGCATTATTCACCATAGCTATGATGTAGAACTAACCCAGATGCCCCTCAGTAGATGAATGGATCAAGAAAATGTGGTGGATATATATGTATTATATATATATATATATATATATATATATATATATATATATATAAAATATATATATAATGGAATTCCATGCCTCCCTCTGAAAGAATGACATCACCCCACTTGTTAGGAAATGGAAAGAATTGGAAAAAATTATATTAAGTGAAGTAAACCAGACTCAAAGAAACATAGGTCCCATGGTTTCTCTTATACTGCAATAACTAGTATATATCTAGGACAAGCAGAAGAGGTCAAAAGCTATGTACATATAACCATATTATAACCGGATGCTAAGCGAAATGAACCTCTTTTAAAGACCTTTCTCCTATGCAATTTCTTTTGAGACAGTTTTAATTTTCTATTTTTAAAATTGGGTACAGCTAGGTGCCAGTGTCTTATGCCTAACTATAATCCTAGCTACTCAAGGAGCTAAGACAGTTCAATGACAGGCCCAGCAGAAAAAGTATACTTAATATTGTAAAAATGGTCATATTACTGAAAGCAATCTACAAAAAAACAATGTGATACTCATCACAGTTTTTGTAATTTTTTTTTTTTGGGTCCGGTTGTGGGGTCTGAACTCTGGCCTTGGGCGCTGTCCCTTAGCTCTTCAGCTCAAGGCTAGCACTCTACCACTTGAGCCACAGCATCACTTTCGGCTTTTTTCTTTTTTTTCTTTTTGCTTATGTGGTGCTGAGCAATCGAATCCAGGGCCTCATGCATGCAAGGCAAGCGCTCTACCACTGAGCCACCTTCCCAGCCCTTTTGTAATTTTTTATAGAGAAATACAAAAATCGATCCTAAAATATCCTTGGGAGCATAAAAGACTCTGACAAAAATAATCATGAGTAGAAAGAGTAACACTGACAGTATTAAAATACTAGATTAGAAACTGTATTAGAAACATTATTTAGTACATTTCAAATTATACTAAATACTTCCTAGTATACAGAGCCACAGTAATAGAAAAATAATTATACTTGTACAAAACAGACATGATGACAAATGGAACAAACTAGAAAATGTATAAATTAAATCACACACATAGGCATATGAACTACAAAGGAGTCTAAGAGATACACTGAGGATGTAAGGTGCCAGTGCTGTTACAGGTGTTATGTACCTAGAGCAAGGCAAGATACAAAGAACCTTTGCTCCTACATAGCTATTATGGTAAAAAGTATATGCTATTTTATACTACGTCCTAAGCTACAGACATTGTTAATAGCTAGAACTCACCAATTGTAATCCATTCGAGACTGATGAAGCTGCTGCTGTTTTAAGAGAAGCTTTGTCTCCTGCTGAGCCAACAGATGTTGAAGGCGTTCCTTTTCAATTTCCAGTTCTATTTTCTGAAGCACCAGTTGTTGCCTTCTATCTTCTGAGAGTTGCTTTTTGACATCAATTTCACTGGTTTGCAGTGCCCCTCTGGCATGCATGAGAAATTCCCAAGAGTGCCCACAATAACTGCATGATTCTGGGTGTGTTCTAGAACACTGAGGGGCCATGCTTGAGGAATGGCTTTCATAAATATGATCTTCATTTTCAGAAAGCCTATGAACACAACACTGACTAGAAGGAATAGGCTTAGGGTGTGAACATTCCTTCATCTGTAGTTCTTCTGTTGCAGCTCTTTCTTTTGACATTGTATCCACTGGTTTTCTTTCTGAAGGTTCATAAGTACATGTTCTGGTTTCTGATGTCACCCTGTCTAGACCTTCTTTGGGATGATGCAGGATTATCGGTTTCAAAGTATTATTTCTAAGTTCCTTAAGAGATTCTGAAACTGAGTCATGGTTTGCAGACTTAGGCCTTTGTTTGGTTTGATAGTAGTGTGTTTTAGCTACACTCATATAAGAACCTCCTAATTCTGTAGATGAAGACTGGACAGTGCTTTTCTTGTTGCTTTCCTAAGAAGAAATACAATATCATTTGTCAAACAGGAATACAAGAAAATCACCTTTCCTTTTCCCTTTTCAGAAATTAATTATCTATATATATATATATATATATATATATATATATATATATATGTTCGGTGAAACAAAACTCATTTTATGTTCTTAAAAAATGAATGATAACTCCAGGTGGTGGTGGCTCACATCTGCATCCTAACTCGTCAGGAGGCTGAGCTCTGAGGATTCCTTTTTGATGCTAGCCCAAGAAGGAAAGTCTGTGAGACTCTTCTCCAATTAACCACCAACAAGCCAGAAGTGGAGCTCTTGCTCAAGTAGTAGAATGACAGCATTGAGAGAAAAAGCTTAGGGACAAAGTCCAGTCCCTGAGTTCAAAGTTCTATCTAGAGAACCAATAAACATGCCCCCTCCCCCATGAAGAATACTCACAGAGCTAAACAGTAGTGTCAGAAGCTACATGCATTTTTCTAACAACCAATGTTAGTAAATTCATATAAGGATGAGAGAAACACAGTGTAACTCATGTTGCTCAATAAGGATCTTTGGTGATTTCAGGAATTTTAAATAACAAAAGTTGCATAAAATCAACTTTGAAAAGAAGCAAAACCTTAAATATTAATGTCTAAAATGTTTACTTTTGAATTCTGAACAAGAAATCAATTCAGTAACCTTAAATACTCTTTGATTGGCCATTATGCAGGATGAAATTTTATGTAAAACATTTCACCTTATACTGAATAGTTTATTGCTAGAAATTTGATGAGTTTCAACAAAATAATAAGTTCTAATCAAAGGTAGTTATTTAAATACAAAACATTTAATTTTTGATACAAACATAAGTGAATTTTCAATTAAGCTTTTTAAGTGGTTATAGTCTGATAGGACTCAGGCAGAAAGGAAACAGCTGTAAATTATTGCAGGTCAATAGAGTGAGCTTTTCCAACATTTTAGCCTTGAGCCTATTGTGTCAGAGAGAACACAATTTAATCTATATCAGTGTGTCTCAAACGTTAGCATGTATCAGAATTACCTGAAGGGCTTGTTGAATGCAAAATGTTGGCTTCATCCCCAGAGTTTCCAGCTCTGTCTGGAGCAGAGTCAGATCATTTGCATTTCTAACAAGTTCCTAGGTGATGTTGATGTTGCTAATCTCAAATCGTATTTTGAGAACTACAGGTCTGTCTATATTATAGAATATTCTCCATCTTTCTGACTCTTGACCTTGGCCTTGGAAGACTGAGTTATTATATTTACCTAATCAATGAATTCCATTAATGTATTACAATAATCAACCAGCTTTACAATCTACTTCAGAAATATGGTATATCCAAGTTCAAAGATGTCCAACTTCAAACATTCCATTTGAATGCAGATGGTAAATGCATTAAGAATGGGCAGTGTATTTATGAAGATGAATATTTGGCATAAACAAAACAACAAAGGAAACTGATGTAGAGAAAAGAATTTTAATCAAATTGAGTTGATGGGAGGCATATAATTCTGAACATTAATCCAGCCAAAAATTCACTCTTCCAATGGTAGTCCTCTATAAACTAAAACTTTTCTTTCAGCTTAGATCTTGGACATGGCAAATAAAAGTTACCAAGTCCAACTACTTAACTAGCTGCTGTTACTTCTTTAGGCTGTCTGGAATATAACATTTGACACAAAATTTGAAAGGAACAAAAAAATCATCCACCTTTGGAGTAATCTCACTTGCCAACCTGGGCTTTTCTGAAAAGTAAAGTGAAGAGAAAGAAAGTAGGCAGACTTTAAAGTAACACATTAGAAATATCCTTTATAGCTTACAGCCTCATCTTTCTCTTGTTCCATTTAGAATCCCTTATATTAACTCTTACTTGCTATTAAAGAAAAAATTCTCTACGCAAGTCAATCCAGAAAGGCATCTAACTAGTGAACACTAATACTAACCAAACAAGAAAAAATTTCCTTTATGTTCTATCCATTCTAGGCTTTCTGGCTGTGCTGTGAACTGAGTCATTCTGTTTTGCATAGAGTAGATGCTTATCCTGAGTTATTTCATTTGGGACATATACTAACACAGAAAGATCTGGCATTTTACTTGTACAATTACTATCTTCCCAGCATAACAATAAAGCACAGACTGATAAATGGCTTCTTTGTGCTAATAAAAATTGCCACCTATAATCTTATTGGGGACAAATAAATGATGCAACCATTTTATCCAAGACACATAGGAGACACATTTCAGGCTGTGCATATCAAACCAAATTGTTACTTTCTTACACCCCACCCCACCCCGGCAGTATATTCATTACACAGATACCTCTCTAAGTGACAATACACATATGGAAGAAACACAACAAATCAAAGAAAGGTTGAACAAATGGGGTTGCATGAAATTGCAGAGCTTCTGCATGGCAAAGGACATAGCTAGCAAGATCAATAGAAAGCCCACATATTGGAAGAAGACTTTCACTAGCCATACAATAGACAAAGGTCTCATATCTAAAATACACTTAGAACTCAAAAAAAAATGCCCTAAAAATCCTCAAAGAAACAACCACCCAATTAATAAGTGGGCTAAAGACAAAGAGTAACTTCTCTGAAGAGGAAATAAGAATGGCCAATAAGTACATGAAGAAATGTTCCACATCTCTGGGCATGAAAGAAATGTAAATCAAAACAACATTGAGATTCCCCCCTCACCCCAGTTAGAATGGCTATCATCAAGAAATCTAATAACAACAGGTGCTAAAGGGGACGTGGTCAAATGGGAACGCTACTGCACTGTTGGTGTGAGAGTAAACTTTTTCAACCAAATATGCCTCTTTAAGTGACAAACTCCTAACTGTCCACTGTCCACTAACCCAGTTCAGTCCCATCCTTCTTGTTGTGGTCACCATTAACTTTAATGCTATCCAGATTCCTTAACTCAACAACTCAGAGATCTGCTGTTAGTTAACTCAATACCTGATCATTTGCAGTGATTCACTGCATTTATATTGGCTCTTTGCATTGACTAAATCCAGAATCTACTACTCTTCTAGTTTTCTGTAACCTACATATACTTGTGTGAGGGGATGCATGCTTTCAGTTACAAATGTTACAAATGTTAGTAATTAAGATTAGAATGGAATGAAGAACTTGCATTTGCCATGGCCATGACTACACATGAAACCAGAGTATTTAGTGAAATAAAGCCAATGAAACTTATGTAGCTGTAAATCTATTAATATTCAATGTATTCTAACATTGTCAAGACAAATCTATCAGTCTATGTTAACAGAATAGCTTGCTCATAACACATACCTGCTGAAACCATTTTTCACTTTTCATTGACAAGCTAAGGGAAGCATTTATGCAAGAGCAATATAACTTTTTTAGTACAATTCTGTTTCACAATGCTATTGTAACAAATTACCACAAATTTTGTATCTAAAAACAACACAATTTTATTCTCAGCTGGCTCCAGAAATTAGAAATCTATTTTGTTGAGCTGAAGTCAAGGTATAGGCAGGGATAGTTCCTTAGGGAGGTTAGAGTACGGAACTTTTATCAGCTTTTAGTAACCACTTGTATTCCTTGGTTTATGCCCCCTTCTTCGCCTTCAAAGACATTATTCCAACCTCTGCTTTCATAATTACATTGCTTTGTGCTTATATTTTTACTATTTTGCTCTTATGAGGACTCTTTAGGTTGGTGGAGTCCCCATCAAATCCAAGACAATCTCAAGATCCTTAATTTGAGTCTGATGCTGGTGGCTCATACCTGTTATCCAAGCTACTCAGGAGGCTGAGACTTGAAGACTTGTGGTTTGAAAACAGCCTATATAGAAAAGTCCTGTAGAATCCAGCAAAAAACTGGGTTGGGCTCATGGATCCAGAGTACCAACTATGAGCAAGCATTGAATTCCTAAATTGAAGGCCCAAATGCTAGGGGAAAAAAAAATCCGAGCAAGCTGAAGATCCCAAGTTCAAACCCCAGTATTCTAACAACAATAACAACAAAATCCTAATAGCATCTCCTAAGTCCTGTGCTTTCCAAAGTCTACTATGTACTGTAAGGTGACATGTACAGATTCCAATAATTAGGACATGAACATATTGGGAACATAATTAGTCAACAGTGTTGTTTATGTATTCATTTATCCTGGAGGTCTGAACTCAGGCTCTCTGATTATTCTACTACTTGAGCCATACCTTCAGCCTTTATTGTTTTAGGTTATTTCTCAGACAGGGTCTTGCTAACATTTTTCCTGTGCTGGTTTCAATTTGCAATCCTTCTGATCTCTGCACCTCCTGAGTAGTTGGTATTATAGGTATGAGCTACATTCCAGGTCCCACAATATCTTTTTAAATAAAACTAACATCAGGAGAACTGTGGCTCAAGGCAGCCCAGGAATACATGGGAGACCTTTCTCTTTTCTATTTTTTTGTTATTAAGTAGTTGTACATATGGGTTACAACTGCATGTCATGTTATGAGTACAATGCTTCTTAGTCAATGTCATGCCTTTCTTTGTTCTCCCCCAGTTTCCCCCCTCTCATCCCTACCCTCAAGTTATATAATGTACATTGAAGGTGTGTTATTTACTCACCTTCCTCTCTTCATTTGTGTGACTCACTGCTATTTATTTTGCTAAATAGTTCATTAGTTGTTCAGCGGAGTCTCACTTCGGACTCTTAGTATACCTTCCTTTAATCAACTTGTGCCTTTATGCATAAAACTCCGTGTATGTTACATTGTATATTTCTATTTTAGATCTAGCTTTCACATGCGAGAAAAAAATGCATCATTCGTATCTCTGAGACTCATTTACTTCACTTAATTTTTTCTAGAGAAGACCTTTCCTTAACCAGTTGCTGGATTGATAGTGCAAGCTTGCCATCCCAGCCGGTCCAGGCACATGGAGAAAATGAGACCCTAATCTCAAAAATAACCAATGCAAAATAGAATTAGAGGCATGGTTCAATAGTAGAATACTTGTGTAGCAAGTGTGAAGTCCTAAAT